AGTCATATTTAAACGCATGTTTTTTTTCGCAGTGTTTAAGGGTGAGTCAGCGATTTTTTGAGATAAAACTTTGTTAACGGGTTTCAGAATATGTTATGAATAAGTTAAAGACTCTGTTATCAGTGTTTTATGGACGCGTCAACGACTGTTTCAACATTATTTTATGAATGAGTTAACGGCTCCGTTATCAGTATTTTAAGGATGAGTCAACATTTGTTTCACTGATGTTCTATTAATAAGTTAAAAGCTTTGTTAACAGGTTTTATCGACGGTTCAACAACTGTGTCAAGAGTATGTTATGAACAAGTTAACGGGTGTGTTATCAATATTTTATGGACAAGCAACGATTGTGTCAATAATATTTTATGAACGAGTCAATGATTGTGTCAACATTATTTTATGAATGAGTTAACGGCTCCGTTATCAGTATTTTAAGGATGAGTCAACATTTGTTTCACTGATGTTTTATTAATAAGTTAAAAGCTTTGTTAACAGGTTTTATCGACGGTTCAACAACTGTGTCAAGAGTATGTTATGAACAAGTTAACGGGTGTGTTATCAATATTTTATGGACAAGCAACGATTGTGTCAATAATATTTTATGAACGAGTCAATGATTGTGTCAGCATTATTTTATTAATGAGTTAAATAATTCTACCACATGTATGTTACTCTAATATTCTCTAATAACTCCAAAACAAGCCAGAAACACTAACACACAGCCGTAATTCTACCACATGTATGTTACTCTAATATTCTCTAATAACTCCAAAACAAGCCAGAGACACTAACATACGGCTCTTACTCTACCACATGTATGTTACTCTAATATTCTTTAATAACTCCAAAACAAGCCAGAAACACTAACATACAGCCGTAATTCTACCACATGTATGTTACTCTAATATTCTCTAATAACTCCAAAACAAGCCAGAGACACTAACATAAGGCTCTTACTCTACCACGTGTTTGTTATTCTAATATTCTCTGTAACTCTAAAGCAAACCTGTAACACTAAAATAAGACTTTAGCTCTACTATATATCTGTTTGTCCAACACACTATGTAGCTGTAACTTTAACACACGTTTGGGAAACTAACACACATGTGTAACTCTAACACGCGTCTTAATCTCAAGCTAACGATGTTATGCAAGACATGTGAGCTATCTCTTCACATTTCTGTCTCCCGTGTTTTGGTTATTTAATGTTCTAATTTGAATGGTCTTGGTGTTTTAGTAATGATATAGAATTTAGTGAGACTTTATCCGTGTCAGAATGAAATTGACGTAACTGCGTATTGAAATTACTGCTAGTTTTCCAATCAGAGCAATCAGTTCGCGTCTGAAACATAGTGTAATGAGTAAAAGACTAAGTTCGGAGATTAATCAAATGTGGCCATCGGTGCTGCTTAGAATCTCGAGTTGGTAATTTAAATTAGAATTTATTTTCATGAAACTCTGGGAACACTCGTGAGACGATAGATTTATTAATGTTGCTAAAACTGTTCGAATATTTTACCTAGCTTTAATGATGGAATTAATCAGTCTATAAAATAGGGCTTAATTAACAGGCTGAAGACGATGCCCAATGAAGCAAGAGGCAGGAATGATAATGTGTTCACTCATATAATTTATCTGTCTCACGGTTTAAGTCAGATGAAAAATGGAAGGAAAATATCGTTAATTCTCGGGCAAACTTAAACTTTCATCATTCGTAATAATCGTAGAGTCTCAAGTGAATATATTTCACCTACAAACACAGAGTCTTTTTTAACCTCTTTTCTTACCAATTAAATTGTAAACAGTTACTTTAACTGACTTCCTAAAAGTATCAAAAAAATCCTAATAACGTTACAGAATAGCCTTATTCTCACTACAATGTTTATTAATACTTTATATTACATAACTCTGATTTTTTTTATTGAAGTAAGTTCAACGTTAAACAAGTGTATTCATTGGAAAAGAAGGCACAAAAGAGTTTACATTTAATACTTGCTTTTAAAATGAATGTTTATTAATATTCAAATAATATAACGCTCTTTTGAAAGAGGCTATTTTAATTTGGTCAATGTTTTTTTGCAAGAAGCTATATGATAGATAGTTGTTATTTCCTGCAGGGTGGTTAAGTAATGCTAAAAAGCAGTTTACTTGGGGTTCAACGTTTGTGAAACTGTAAATATATGTATTTTCAATTGCTGTTGATATGTATACATACATACACATATATATACAGATATAGATAGACAAATAGACAGACAGATTGATTGATTGATATGAGATCTGTAACGGGAAAAGGTGGAATTTCATTGGTTTAATCCCAATATTTTCTACCTATCAGATTTAGTAGAGACACTTTCGATCTAGAATAACGGAAGTTTTAAAACTGGCATACACATTCGCGGCATGAACAGATTGGCGGAGGGAGAAGTATCACGTGAGTTCCAGTAACAGCTGATATCATACCTTTTGACACACTCGACTTCAAATGACGCTGAAAGCTTCAAGACAACGTTCTGCTGTTACGGCGTTGATTTTTATTCCAGAATTATACTATTTCTCTTTTGAGTACTAAGGTGTCGTGCATCATCCTTGCGTCAGGTAATTAAGTGTTTGTAGTGTTGAGACCACTCTACAGAGATAACGTTACAGAAGGATGACCTAGAAATATAAAAGAAAGGAAGTGTTTGGTTTCTGCGCTAATGAATTCGCAAGTGTCAGTTCGGAGCTTCTAAAACAATTATTTCTCCGACAGAAAACTATAATTTTACTTAATCGCATTTGACAAACAACAATCAACAATATGCGTCAAATGGATTTTCCAAGTCGTGTCAGTCAATACATTCAACATTTTATAAAGACATTCATTAAATAGTTCTCGAAAATATAATAAACTTAAAGCTGTCACAAGTTTTCAGTTTTCTTTACGTAAAAAAAAGAAAAACTGGTTTTAAGTGGAGCTAAAGATAACCATCATGTACGGGTTAATTTTGGAAAACCTTAGTCAGTATATTATTGTAGTATACGGAGAGGAGAAATGGGAAGAAATTCGTAAGCTTGCTAAAGTTGAACATGCCACCTTCAGTACACATAAGGTCTATCCTGACAGTTACATCCCTAAATTAGCAGGTAAAGCTTCAAAGGTAAGTGGATCTAGAAGACTTTTATTATCGCTTGTTTCGCTGAATAAAGACAACCCTTTAAAACTTAATGATGGATGGATTTAAAACGTGTAATTTGATTCACCAACTGCGGTTTACTTTTAATACTTTCAAGCACCTTGATGAAGAAAGTAAATGAAATCTGTAAAAGAAGTAAAGAAAATAGAAATACGTTCATCACTGTACAGTTTTAAGCGTGTAATTCGAGCTCACGTAGATCAAATGCATATTTTTTTCTGTCATTACTTCCGATTTAGAATAAGCAACGCTTGTGTAGTTTGTTTACATTTACAAATGGTTAATTCTGAAAACTATACTGCATGTAAAGTTAGCTTCAAACGTTACCGCACACACAGTTAACTATGAATAATTTTGCTGCATTTAGATTGATTTATGAATGAACTCAATTAATATCTTGACAATATAAACCTAATCTCCCAAAGGATATTTTGCTTGTTCAGAAAAACAAAGTTGCATGGATTGAACCCCGAATGTTAACATTGTAAGCTCAAGGTTACCGTTGGTAAGCTTGTTAAAGGGATATGGTAAATACTGTGACAACTTCATATTAATTTTAAAGATGTCTCCCGGTTTTACAGCGATAAGTTTCCAGACTTACAACGCTAAAACCCGGGGTTCGATTCTTCGCGGTGGACATAGCCGATAGCTTAATGTGGTTTTGCGTTACAACAAACAAACAAACAGAATCTTAAAGTTGTTCTTACGATATTTACAAATTCGATTTTATAATACACTTTTGAGAATTTAAACAATTTCGAAAAGATCAAAAATTACTAAAAAAATAACTTTTTGAGTTATCTTTCACAAATAATAATTTACTATGCCGATTTTGTAACGTCTGGTATTCTAATCAATATCTGTAAGAAACTCAATTATACATAGAATCTTGGAACACTTATCTTGTGTTTCTAAATTTTGGACATAATCAGAAAATTTTCATTTTGAAAAGAGATTTCCGACAAAAGTATCCTACAAAATTTGATATGATTCTCGGGGACGTTTGGCCTCGTTAAATAACATTGATGCAAGTCTGTGTGTGTGGCTTCTTTTCAGTTTTGTTTGCTAGTTTATTTAAGATATTACACACGGGTTATCTGTGTTTGCTTTAACTAATTTTGAACTGCCAACTTTCAACTATTCTAATCGAATAGTGTAGTTTGATCGTGCCAACACAATTTTGCGGCTGCGAACAGTGAACCCTCGGATTCCCAGTCCGAACACGCTAAACCAGTAAGCTACTTATTTTGAATAACATATTTTTATATTATGTTCTACCTTTATAACAGATTAACCAATTTAAAACTTTGTGGTCACTGAGACCAGGTACTACTTTCCCAAGTTTTCATTTTCCAATGTTTTTGTTATTTTTAAAGCCTGGAGCAACATAATAACTTCTATGTCAGTGATGGCTGTTACTGGTAATTTTTGACATAATTTCTTATTAGCTAAATAAGCTTCCATTGAGAAAATATGGATGAAATACAAAGTCGTAGCGAAATGTTTAAATCATGAAACGTTAGCATAATGTTATACGTCTATTACTGTAACACTAACCCAGGTAGAGAACAATATATAGAGAAAAGTGCAATAGTTGTAGCTTTTATAACCTGAATGTGACTTTAAACGAAAAGAAAGAAAGGAAATCAGATAGTAGTTCATGTTGCTCGTTTTCTCTAGTGCGTGGAGAAACAGTAGTATCTGTATATGCACAAAACCAGGCAGTAAATCTTGTATTTATTTACTTATGTGTTTTTCTTCTTTGAAGAGATCTCCTAGAAAAATCATGTGGACGTGACACAATTTTACCATTACGTTTTATGTATGAAAGATAAAAGAATATTGCCTTTACTTTACTGACATAAGTTGAAGACAAACTTCTTGGAACTTTGGCAAAACCCTTTGTCGACAGTCTTTAGTCAAATGTTGATTCTGTTGTCACTGACACGTCTTTTTTTTTCAATATTGTTAAACATTTCATACCATCAAATGGAATGAAAACTCTACTTTTACGCGTAGAAGTGCCACCAGATAGTGCTTTGTATAATATTTGTAAATTCTTTGGATAGATTGGCTGTATAGTCAGTATTTTACACATAATTTTCTCATAATAATTAGTTACAATATATACTTTATCATTAGGACATTAAATGAAATCGTTTTCATGGCTGAAGAAGAAAGACCAATGATCTGTCAAAACATGTAATATGTTCCACCATCAACAAAACTCTTCCTTATGTTTATAAGTTGTTGTTTAACTACCGATTAGTGCTTTGTATAATATTTGTAAATTCTTTGGATAGATTGGCTGTATAGTCAGTATTTTACACATAATTTTCTCATAATAATTAGTTATACCATATACTTTATCATTAGGACATTAAATGAAATCGCTTTCATGGCTGAAGAAGAAAGACCAATGATCTGTCAAAACATGTAATATGTTCCACCATCAACAAAACTCTTCCTTATGTTTATAAGTTGTTGTTTACCTATCGATTATTAGAAGCTATAGCAGTTTAATCAGCAAATATTTTTCATATTCTGCAAATCTCAAGATAGGCCTATGTATCTATGATTTAGCAGAAAATTATATACAAAGAATGCAGAAAGTTAGTATCTATTTTTGAACATTCTCTTCTAAATCTACAAGGTGAGAACAGCTTTTCGAATAGATAGTCTCTTTTAAACAGACAAGGATTTGTAAATGTTTTTGAAATGTCTCTTCTAAACCCACAAGGGCCAGAAAACGTTTCTCGATAGTCTTTTCCAAAATCCACAAGGATAAAAAAATTCTTGTTTAATCTTTGCTAAGTCCACTAGGATCGGTAACTGTTTGTTTTAATAGTCTTTGCTAAAAGTACAAGTATCAGCGTTTAAGGTAAATAAGAAGCAATGACCATTTAAACACGAGTGATAAGTTATAATGTTATAGTTTATTTTTCGTGACTTTTATGTGCTTATAAGCAACCCACGTGTCTACCAATGCAACATTTAAAATTGCAGTTTATAAATCGTATTACTTCTTGCGTTGAAATATCGATGTCATTAGTATTATATTTGCCTTATAGTACTAAAGTTTTAATCTTTAATGTATTGATATAGATTACTATTCTATCTGGGATATCCGAAAACTCACAAACTACAATGAGGAATCATTGGTGCATCAACTTGTATACCCATGGTAAGATTAGTGATATCCTCTACAATGAGGAATCATTGGTGCATCAGCTTGTATACCCATGGTAAGATTAGTGATATCCTCTACAATGAGGAATCATTGGTGCATCAGCTTTTATACCCATGGTAAGATTAGTGATATCCTCTACAATGAGGAATCATTGGCGCATCAACTTGTATACCCATGGTAAAATTAGTGATATCCTCTACAATGAGGAATCATTGGTGCATCAACTTGTATACCCATGGTAAGATTAGTGATATCCTCTACAATGAGGAATCATTGGTGCATAAACTTGTATACCCATGGTAAGATTAGTGATATCCTCTACAATGAGCATGCAGAAGTCGAACAAAAATATACAACCTAAAAATATACAAATTTAATCAAACCTCATTGTCCTTTAATTTTTGAGAGTAATGTAGATACCAGAGTGAGTGAAGCAAGTCCTCCACTGTTGTAATGAAATAAATCTAAACTCATGCATTTTGTGCTTAAAATCTCCACATAAGGTTGGGTGCTCATGAACATCCATTAATCCCTCAGAGAGAGAGAGAGAGAGAAGAATATCCATAAAAGTTTCACATTGAGATGTTTACTATACACCACCGCATAGGGGTGGATATCCATAAAGATCCCTCAACGGTTAAATCCACCAGAGAGAGAAACATGCTTCTATAAGTCTCACATTGAGATGTTGTTTATACACCACCACGTAGGGTTGGATGTCAATGACTATCCCTCAACAGTTAAACCCACCAGAGAGAGAGAGAGAGAAGTACGCCTATACAAGCCACATATTGACTAGCACCCCAATACTAAGTTGAAAATTCTTGAGCGTCAATGATAACAACATGAACTTTTCACATGGATGACAGCCCGCAATCCTTATTGTAAGGAGTCCACAATAATTCTGTTGTGACGGTAAGCAACTCTTATCGTAGGATTCTCAGAGTTCTGTTCTAATTTGACGTAATTATTGCTGTAAGATCCTAAATACTCTGTTGTAACTGTAAGTAATGGTTATTATAAGATTCTCAGGATTCTGTTGTGACAGTATGCAATCCTTTTTGTAAGATTTTCGGGGTTTTGTTGTGACGGGACGAAGTCTTTCTCGTCAGTTATTTTCAGATTGCAAAGTACAAAATAAATTAAAGATTATTAATGAAACTAACGTACTAAGGCATAAACATCGAAAGTTATTGAGAAAAAAATTAAACCGTTCTAAATACTAAACATTTTGAGGATAAATTGGTTTTAGAAGAAGCATGCCTTTCATTGGATATCATAAACCAAACATTGTATCTACCATTAACTTCGACGGAGACTAAAACATTAGTCTGGCCTTTGTGTATTGATCTAAGAGGCTAAAAAGAATGTATTGGTATATATGTATGTGCATATCAGCAATTAGAAAATTAAAACAAATTTGCACATTCGTGTATCTTTCTCTCATTTTATTGATAACTTTTTCTCTTGATGTATTAATTTTGTTCCCGTAAATCTCAGGTAAAGGTCTGGGAAGTCGTCGTCTTCATGTGAACTGAAAAACCTCAAAACAAAGATGATTACCAGTACCATATCGTGTATTGAACGTACATTTTAATCAATAGTGAAGGACTTAAAAATTCATTTGATCGAAGTTGTCTGAAAAGTGTGTGTTATTTCGAGTTTAGCTTCAGGCACTTTTAGTATCGGGATGAAGGAGCCTTATGAGTAGCATTTGCAGAGAAGCGGCTTACACAAGTATGATTAATCGAGTTACATGAATTGTGGTTGCTCG